AAAAGCAGTTGTAACCATAAATGACTTTAATTATCTAAATGAGAACAAACATGAATAAATGAGTTAATGGTGTGTAGATAAATGATGAAAAAACATATTGATTAGAACAATATTTAAAAGTCATAACCCATAAAAACTTTAGATTTTATAGTCTGTAATGTGAAACACTTTCCACAACATATAACATTAACATGAATGTCTTGAAACTCATAATTAACCTTAGGTCATCAAACTGTTGTTACTTTAGGGGTCCATTGTTGAACAAAAACTAAGAGTTGGAAAAAAAATTCCAAACAAAAGAGTAAAAACAAGACAAGATAGAAATTTATTCTATACTTTTGTGTAGAGAAAATTTAAAGGAATTTTCCACGGTTCATCTCTGGATGGAAAGTTGAACTTACAATGCTGGGTGAACTTAAGCTGGGATCAGTGATAGTGTTAGGATGACTGCTTAGCAATGGGTCTATGCATGAAGGTCACCAGCAATTGCTTATATACTGTCATTTGAAGAAATATCAGATCAAAGTGAAGAGAGCCAACTCAGGTTCACATCAGGAAGATGTCCAAAAATGTGAAATGGAATCTACTGATAGGTTTTTCACAAAGAGCATGTCCATTCCTGGTAAAAATATTTAACATTTCATGAGTTCAAGACATCCCAATAGCCAACATTCACTGACAGTTACTCAATATGTCACCATCCATACCCCGAAATGTAAGGGATCATCCGTCTTAGAACACTTAGCAAAATTTGATGACGATCCAGAGACGTTAGATTTGAATTGGTCAGTTGGTGTAGTTGCTACAACGTAACAACTACCCTGTTTTGGCAGCAGGTCAAAAACTTTGATAGTGTTGGTACAAGTCTCAGGAGTATTGAGGACAACAACACTCAGAAAACAGTATACCTGCCTGATGTGAAGGGGTTATCAGAGAAAAATACAAAGGATCATTTTTTCATATAACATCAAAACCTGGTTGTTGGTTTCACTTTTAGGTATTTTACGATGAGACCCCCCCACAGAGAGGAAATGACTAAAGACTATGTGTACATACAAACATGTATTTACTGTCGGAAAGGAATATTTTAGGAGAGACAGGCCGTCCCTCAGGTAAGGCTTCAAGAACACCAGAAAGCTGGAACGCCTTGGGAAGTTTTAAATCAGGCGGGCTGACCAAATATGGAGAGAGAGGAGACCACCACCCCCTGTTTTGGATCATGTTGAGATCATAGACAGGGAACACCATTTGGAAAATTCTAACTTTGATGAATCAGCACATATGCTAGGGTTCAAAAAATCTCCTGAGCCGACAAGCATAGAAATAAATACAATATGTAACTAGTAATAAGGAGTGCCAGAGAAAATTAATGATAACAAAGTTGCAATATGAACTCTGGTAAAACAGTTTATGATAACAGCAAAATTGCAATATGAGCACTGGTTGATGCTGAAAACATTAGGTTTATAAAGGGAAGTTCATGCCCAGATGTCCTCAAGGGTCACATGGCACAGTGGATAAAGGCGTTGGTTTTATCCAGTACAGACCCAAAGAAGGTGAGTTCAATTTTGTCAAGGCAGTGGAGAAAAAAATCAGGAGATAACTGATATCCATCAAACATGGCACGTTTCTTTCTTTTCAGTCTACCCCAGTGATTGAAATAAAGGGTTCAGTTCGAAATTCCAACCACCTGAAGAAGGCCAAATTGTTAAAGATGAGGATAAACCGACTAATGTAAATTTTTCATCTCAGAAATACATATTTACATACCATTTTTAACAGCACCTTTTATCTGCCCCTTGATGGAACAGTGAACTTTTTTCAATTAACTCCTCCCTATCATTTTAGATGATATAGCTTTTTGAGAGTTCTGAGGTAATAGTTTTCTTTTCAGCATAATTTTAAAATCTGCATTTTTCAACCTCAATTTTCACTAAATTCTTCTATTTCTTTTAATAAAAGATTAAAATCATCATGCTGATAACCCATATGGCACAAAATAGTTTTATTTGTTAAACAGATCACTACTTTTAATTTCAATGATTATTTTAGGTCATTGTTGGTTTGAATTTTGTGTGAATTAATTGGACAGTTTTTGAAATATTAAAAAAAAGTTATCTTGATAATAATTTGGCATCAATCAAATATATATATATATATATATATATATATATATAAATAAATTTAATACATACAAATACATACATGGAACTAATATCAATTAGAAAACTCAGAAGTGAGCCCCAAATGTGGTTGGCATCAACACTTGGAACTTTTTTAGCCAAATACCATCAGCAAATTGAATTGCAAAATGTAATGCTCTGTATTCCCTTGGATCCTGTTGTTGGTTCCAAGAAATTGTGTATTGTGTAATTGGGGGGGGTAGTAACAAAAATGAAATACATTAATAATTGCCAGTCTAAGGGAAAAAATATTTTTGACTTGCAGGTATATCTTTCAACTTCTCCATCCCCGGTGCAAAAGAAACTGGCAACTCACTGCACTATTCTGCCTTTTTTTATCATCATAAACAAATGTTATGAGATGGAGGGGATTGGTCTTCCAAAGATGCAAGCTGAATAAATGAACCCTTTTGTTAAAAAAAAAAAAAAAAAAAGCTATGAAGAATCCAATATGGCATTAAAATGATTTATTACATCAAGTAATAATTTGAATTTTGACCTTAAATAAAAAACTATAATCCCAATAATTAAAGTTCCATACTACACAGATTTTTTGACTAATCATTTGACCCTTTAACTATAATAATAATTATACACAATTTCAATATCACATATCACTGTTTAAATGAATTCTCACAATATAAGATGTTTCATCATAATTTTTTCTTTATGATAATGAATTTACACAGCACAACATTATTACTGTTTTATACAATAGTGAAAGTTACATCAGATCACTTTAACTCCACAAAAAAAATGTAATACCTAAAGTTTACAATGAATTTTTAAAAATGAGAAATCTTTCTTGAAGCTTTTATTTTAGCTTTAATTTTAAGCTAATATGTTTCCAATAAGCAAAATACTTTGCTTTATTTCAAAAGCTAATTTAAATTGTCTGGAAAGAATTTTTTTTTGATAAAATAGCTAATTAGTACCATTTTTTTTTTAGGTGTCTTTCATCACAATGTAATTCTCGTTATCAAAAAATCTTCCAAAAATATAATACATTTTTCTGAGATTTTATTTGAGGAATATTAGCTGATTTAAAGTATAATTAATTAGATGTGAAACAAGCATTATTTACTTTAAGTTCAAAATATAGTAGAAATGCATTTTTTAACCAGACAGTAGCTGTGTTTTTAACAGTAGCTGTGTTTGAAAAAGTGATGATAAATCTAATATTGTTCTATGGAGACTATCTGTAAAACATAATTGAAGAAAATGACAACAGCAACATTTTATATAATTTTCAAGTACTCAGTAATCTAAAAAATCTAGGAAAATATGCTCCATAATCTAATGTTTTAGTGAATTTTAGAAATTTTAGTTTTAAATTTACTATAGTTATCACTCTTATTTTCTGATAATGTTGTGTATAGGTGCCCATATTTACAAACATCAGCTTGCTGATAAATAAAAAAAAAATTCAAATTTATTTTTAAAATATCGGTGTTTGATAATTTGTATTAAGCTTTTCCATTTATGATTAGTAAATATAATTTTCACTTAATAATATCATCTGAAAGGCTGAAAATAATACAGAATTTTAAAAGATATAGACATGAAATTTCTCTATTTAAAATTAAAAAAAAAAAAAAAATTCTTGTAAAACTTCATTATTCATTGAAAAATTTATTTTCTTAAGACACTAGTGTCCATAATATATATTATTTATAAAAGCAATTAAAAAATTTTAATAACATAGTTTTATTGCATTTTTTATTTTACGATTCAGAGCAGATTTTCGGTAAGTGGCATTTCTGTTTGACAAAACAAATGGTGATTTAAATTCTCCATGGAGTCCTGCTTTTAACTAATATAAATATGAAAACCCTGGAATTTTAATTTTTTGAAATTTCATAAAATTAAGATGTAAAGAAAAAAAAAAAAAAATCTTTTTAAATAATCACTTTGTGAATAAGCCCTGAAAATCTCATTAAAATCTAACAATTATTTTATTTTTGCTAAAATTTCCAAAACAATGTGTTTTTTACCACAAAAAAGATGCTAAGTTTCATAATAGTAATCTTTGATCTACCCACTGATGTAGTAAGAAAAACAAAATTTGTAATGAAAATTTTGAATGTGCTAGAAAGGATTAAAAAATTTAAAATAATCAAAATACTTTTGTCTTTCTTCTTAATAATAACAAACATTTTGACAATAAAATTTTGTTTTTATCAAGTTTGGGACATTTTTCATCATGGAATGCTCTTTTATTAGAAAATTTTTGGAGGCACCTACTTTAACATCTTCCCCCTCTAGAGTGACCATTCGAACATCAGCTTTCCCCTAAAACAATTTAAGGGAGAGAGAAATGTTTCATTTTATTGACAACGTTAAGGATAATTTTCACTCATATGAATATCTAAATTTTTAAATGGACACTTGTCAAATGTTTTGAAAATTTTTCTATATTGGGTTCAATTCAGTGTTTTTTCACATTTTTTAAATTTAGCTTCATACTTTAAAAGGCTGTTTTGCTTAAATTAGTGAATAGCTGGCAACTGATCTTACAGAAATAAAAGAGCAAAAGTTATGCCCCCTTAGTTTTAGCATTTGAACATCCTCTTCCACTGAACAACACCCTGTCTACTTTGGAGCAGGAATGCTAAAATGATCTGTTTTACAGTCAAACAGGGATGAAATATTAATGAATGGTAACTTAATTTGGAGCTAAAGAGCTTTAGATTAGGATTTTATATCATGTAGATAAGTGGTATGATTTTATTAATATATAGATTATTACATTTTTAATATCCACAAATGATAAATAAGTGTCACAAAAATATTTTGAAATATTTTCTGAATACTTACAAGTATGAAGGCATTCTGTGATAGTGGTTGCATCAATGAAGTATCCAGCACACAGTGAACACACAATGTGTGGATTCACATGCCGAATACGGATTTTCATCATCTGGAATAAATTCAGACCAACAAATGTAGATAGAATTAAAGAACACATAAAAAATGGATAATTTTCACAATAAAAAAAAATTAACCATCACTTATTGGGTTGGCAGTAGAATCATTAGATATTGACAAACCTTGATCATTTTTTTTTTTTATGTTCTTTGTTCTACATGGAATAGACAGATATATAACATGAAAGCAACACTATTTACATGTATAAATGAAAGAATTATTTTGAAAAGAGGATCATTCAAAATATGTTATTGTTAATAAGTACACATTTCAGATGATTAGCATTAAGGGAGATAACCTAGAAGCCGTGTCACTCTTTTGAATTTTTAATATAAACATTGCCATTCATAAATAATATATTGACTAAAATTTTCCAGTAAATAATTTTAAAGTTCATTATCCCTTGCTAATAACTGTAACTATATCTTTTACTTATTTGTGTTAATGTTGGAATAAGTTATGGTAATATATGTACATGATCATCTAAACATTTTGAATGGAAGAAAAGCAATTATTTTATGAAGAAAAAAAAAAAAAGAAAACATTTACAGAGGTAATTTTAATTTTGAAAATTATTTCAAGCTTAGGATGTTAAATATTAATTTTATTGATATTATTTTTAAAAGTTGTTTTGTATATGCATTTATTTTCAAGCAATGATTATTTCACATTTCAAGCTTTAAATATTAATCAAGTAAAAGCATGAAGGATCAAGGATTCACAGTAAGATATTTTATATCTGCAGGTAACAACTAATAATTTTAAGGTTTAGTAAAATCCCATTTTACTCATGAGGACAATATGAACTTTTTAATTCAAAACTATTTGAGAAATTACAGATTATATAGTACTGTAGATATTTTATACACAGCCAGGTGGTATAATGTTTTTTAGAAATCCTTTTCGAAAGGTAATACAATAGCTGTTAAAATTTTCTTAGTAAAGCTTAACCTCCATTTTTTTTGCATGACCACATAAGCAGGTTTCAATTATTGTATTCTATGGCATATAAGACCCTCTACCTCATTTACATTTACAGTATTATGGATGTAGGCCAGTTATAAATTCTGGTCATTTACATTAAGGTAAACATTAATTTAGCAGATACCGCAACTTCATATGTAAGACATGGGAGTTTTTTTTCTTTTTTAAAAGCAGTGTTATTTATTTGAAAAAAATGCAATGGACATAAGTTCCTACTTTTAATTAGCCAGTTGTTAAAAATAAGATTTTTCATTCAGTTTTTTCAAAATGTATACATAGCATCAGATACATGAAGAAACATTTAAGATATATTTATATAAATAATTTTAAGTTAAAGCAATGCTGATGAGCCAAAACATTATGATTAGTGATAGATGGCAAGAATGACAACTGCTGTTTTGTAACAATTGTGGGCAAACATGGACCTCTGTGCCCACAAAAAAACCCAAAAAAAAACAGAATGTCAAAAGAACAGTTTTCCCCATGACGCTTTCTCTCTTTGCCAACCATTCCAAAGAACAATTTAATAAATAGTGTAAATAAACAATCTAATGAATAAATAGTGTTTATTATTTTTGTTGTTAATTTGCAAGAACAAATAAAATGCATAAATTCACTTTCATATGTTTAGGTTTTATTACACTTCTAATCATCACTTTTTAAAACAAACATTGCTGAAGAGTAGTTAAAATAAAAGTGGTGTCATGGGAAAAAATGTTCTTTTGACATTGTTTTTTTTGTGGGTATGAAGGTCCATGTTTGCCCAAATGTCCATATCAGTGTGCTATGTAAGCCAATCTCCAGTGATTCATTTTGATATGTTGAATGAAAGTTACATTCAAAGGATTTTGGTGACTTTGATAAAGACCAAATTGTTATAGTCAGAAGATAGCAATCTTTAACCTTCATGCAAGCAAAAATATGTCAAAAGACACTGCTATTACTGTATACACTTTTAACTTAATCAGCAATGTTTATTTACATTATAAAAATATGTGAACCATGTACAATGCAATATTTATTTACCTTTTATAAAAGATTTATTAACTATCCTTTCATAATGAAATAAATTAGCAAAAAAATTTTTGTATTCAAAGATTTATGAAAATTACAAAAATTATCAAAATATGTAAACCATTTTATAAATAACTATGAAAACAAGTTTTTTTTTATTCAATCTAATAAAAAAATAGTGTTTAATATCTTTGTGGTCAATTCTCAAAAAAAAAAAAAGAAAACTTTATAAATCCACTTTCATATGTTTGGGCTTTATTTAAATTCTAATCATTACTTTTTGAAACAATAAATATTGAGGAAGGAATCAAAAGGGTATACAGTAAGAGCAGTGTCAAGGGAATAACAGTCCCATTGACACACTGTCTTTTGTGGATACAAATGTTAAACATTGGCCAGAAGATTATGTCAGGGCATTTTCAAAACAGTATAGCATGTGATGTGCTCACATTCAGTTATGGGTTAAGTACCTAAACAGCAGTGGTTCAAGTAAAGAAGAGGAAAAAAAGAAAAGAAACACTGACAAGGTATTAAACAGTCAAGACTTAGCAATATGAGAAATAAACAGAGATTTCCTACTGAGTATTAACCAACGGCACAAATTGCAGATAACTTTAATCAAAGTGAAGGAAAGAATGACTTACAACACATTACATTAATCCTTATTGCATGTAGGGCTATGTAGCTACAGATCATTGAGAGTATCCATATTAACCAACATCCCATCACCTAAAGAGTCTTTATTGGACACAAGCATTATGAACTGAAAATCATTAAAAGATTCTCATCTGGTTGGATGGGTCTTGCTTTTTTTCTGAGGTTTATAGCCCTGTATGTGCTACTATCCTGGAGAAGTAACAGCACAGGGGTGGTTGCGTGGGAAAACAAGTCAATAGAGGAAGTGGGAAACATTCTGTTGTTTAACGCTAAGTCTTGTCATTCATGCTGAAGGCACTTTGTCACATTGACTGCAATACTATAGAAAACCAGGTACATGTCTTCATGGCAAAATAACAGTAGTATTTTTCAGTTAGACAATATGTAGGAATTATTTCAGGAATATGAAAAAAATTTCATGGTCTTGCTCTGGCCATGAAATTTCTCAGATCTCAATCACACTTAGCACTTAAGGAATTTATTGGACCAACAAGTTCAGTAGTGTACACTGAACTTGCTGGTTCAATAAATTCCTTAAGTGCACAGAATCTCCACCATGGAACTTGCAGCAGTTAAAATACTTGCTAGGATCATCTTGATACCAGAGAAAACCTTTTAAAGTTTGTGAAAAATGCAAATGGATAAGAGCTGATTTTCAGGCACAACACTTTATTTGGAAAATAGTCATAATGTTTTGGCCAATAAACATATATTCACGCGGATACTAGGAAAAACTGTTTTACTTTTCTGTCAGAATTTCTGGAATGAGAAGTTATCCTTACACGCAGACTATTGTCCTTATCTTTGTTATTGCTATCACGTTTTGTTTGACAGTTTTGCTAAAAAAGTTACCCAGATCGACAGGCACCTGATGAAGGCCAGAGGGTACAAAGCTGTAATAACAACAAAGATAGGGACAATAGCCTGTGCAAAATGTAAATAAAAACTATTTTCATGAAAAGAAAAGTTATTTTTTATTTTTAAATACCATTAGACTGGCTGCTTATTACTTGGTGATCACAAAGTAAAAAAAGGATTAAACTCTCATAAACCTTAGAGTAAATAAACTTTTTATATTGCTTAAAAAAGTTAAATATTTTAGCATCAGTCGACTCCAGGAACTACTCCCACCCATTTTAACCGGTTCAAAATGAAACACCTTACCTACCTTCCATTTCAGCTTTTGATGTCAAAGTATATGAAATTAAAAAGAAAAAAAATTACTAATAAAATAATTTAATTACCAGAAATACAAAAAATAATACAAAATGATAATATCTCAGAACAAGAACAGTCACAGTAGACAGACTGTGTACTGGAGGAAAAACTGTATCTATCATAATTTTTACACAACAAACACTCGGGTAGACAGTACATTTCTCTACACAACAAAATCAATACGTATTTCTCCCCCTTTCTTTATATGATTTGATAGCTTATAATAATCTATTGGAACCTGAAATGATAAAAGTTTCTACTTTTTTCTGATTAAAAGGGCATTTCAGTACTTAAAAAAAAATGCAACAAACCTTTAACACGTTTCTTTGCTTTTCCTATACAATCATTTTTTTTTTTAATCCAGAAGTTTTCTGGTTCAGTTTACTAAAAATGATTCTTGATCTTTCAATAAAAAGTATATTAGGAAATATTGTGATAATAATACTCTTACCTCCTCCATAGTGGCGCTTTTAAAGGCTACTGGTTATCCATGACGCAGTTTCTCCAACCCTTAGGTTTTCACGCCGTCTCCATATTTCCTGGCGTATGTCAAGTTACAAACGGTGTAAATGGAAAAAATATTCCTTCTTAAATAAAATATCACTTGTTTCCATCAATGCAGCTGTATTTATTTTCTTAACTGATTGAAGAAAAGAGACAAGTACTGGCTTTTTCAGGTTCATCACAAAACCTATATATAAAAAATAATGAGTAATTTTTTTGAATATCGTTGGTAAACGAGAACTTTACAAAGCCAAATTCATAAACCTTCTAGCTATCTGAATGAGTGATGATCAAACTCACCCATTATGGGAAATTACTTGCAAATTTTGAAAGTAGTGTCTATTTTAAAAATCAAAGTTCTGGGAAAAAATTGGGTTGAAAATTTATACAAAAATATGTGTTTGTGGAAAGTTGAGGTGATGAAAATTTGACCTTTCATCTCATCTGCAAAGAAAATGGAAAGGAAAAGAAAGCAGATAAAGCGTAAAGGAAAGCCAAAATGTTTAGAGATTGTTGAGGTGATGTACAAAATTTGTTTTTCTTTTTTAGTACAGTTTCTTCTTATGAAGAGAATGTTCATGCAACAGGAACTAGACTATACACAAGAAAATGTCTTAATGACTTTGACTTGGATTCTGGTTGATACTCAGGCTATCATATGGACACTCACATGAACTGACTACTTGATATGTTGTCCTTTTATTTATATCTCAAGTGTAGATGTCATAGTAGATACAAAAGGCACACATATTTAACAGAAAAATGCTTGGTTCAATTCTAAAGTGTATAGTGAGTGCAAAAATAATAACTTCCTTCACCCACTCCCTTCAAATTCAGAGGACTGAGAAAGAAAAAGGAAAGAAATTTGCAAGTATATGATATTTTTGCCTTTCACAGAAATTAACCGGTGAGCTGAGAAGAAGGAAAAAAATTTGTGACACTATGTGAAATAATTTTGGATCAATGAAAACCTTGCCTTTGCAAAAATTAGCTGGTGAACCAAGAAGAAGAAGGAAAGAAAGCAGTGAGCATATGCAAAATTCTTTTTGATATAAAATGAGGAGAAAAATTAAATTAATCAGAAGAGTGTCTGAAGTCATGTGAAAGGTTTCATTTCAGTTCCTTGCAACCAGCATTGAAGTACTCATCAGTGTAAAATTATTCACCAATTATATTATCAGCCTCTCGCCAGCACACCACTTCAAATAATTTTTTTCTCAACAATCCAAGAAAGCTAAGTATTTCGAATTATTTCTCTATGACTACTTTTGAATGTATGCAAACCATATATCCATTCAATGGACAACAAATTCTCTTACACTTCTTAATATTATTTTGTCAGATCATTTAATCTGTTGTATTAACATTTCCTCTTCATGACAAGATGTTAAACCTATGGATTTTAAGAATTCTGATTTATTTTCCTGAAATGAGCAACTGACAACTTGAAGCATGTAAATTCATGAAAAAATTCCTTATCTTGTTTTGCTAAAAATTACCAGTGTTTTCTCATTATTATCATCCTTCATTAATCTTCTTTGTGTGGGTAAATCAACTGTTCATTTTAACCCCTAAGCCTTATGCCACTATAAGCATATTACTTGAAAAGTATAAAATGTCTAATAATGACTATACATGCTTAAAATTTGGAACTATGCAGTTTAATAATTTTAAATGCCATGTAATTTTTATCTTCATCAAGTTAATTAAATTTTAAGTTGGTATCCACTCAGTCAGGAAAATCTATCTTATTAATAATTTTAATTAAAAAAACATTTTTATTTAATTTGAAATCAATTAATTAATAGAATATGTTCTAATGTCCCCTCTATAATTTGCATCTGTCCAGTTTGTTTTCCAAAATCTTAATTTATACCAATTTTAAAAGTTTTTTCACTAACACTACATATTTGTGGGTTACCCTATTTAGCTCCACTAAAAGCACTCATTAGAGGGTGTTCTTTAAGTCTATAAAAAGGCAATAATATTCTCTCTCTTTCTTTTTTTAACTCTTGCTTTGAGATGTAATTAATGGAATCCTCCATATTTGCTACTCACCGCTGCGGAAAAATGCATTCTTCCCCCAGATCAACTTTAACCAATTATCACTTCACTTTTTCAAACTTGACTTCAAACTTTAAATTGGTTAAAAGGACCCCAAAAATGTAGTAAGTTGCGACAAATCTGTTTTCCTACTCACCTATCTGGAGCTGGTTTGAAACCCAAAAAAGCAATAAATAGGATCGCTTCAGCTGATTCAAGAAGTCAAGAAATGAGTCTTTGAGAGATGCCAACAAAATCCACGCGTGCCAGCACACTGACTCAACAACTGCCATTCTCTCTCAACAACTCAACACAACTCAAAAACTCTTGCTGCACGAATTAACCCAACTTACAATTTACTAGAAAAGTGACATTATAACTACTGAAGTAGTAATTGTAACATTTAATCAACTTACATTATATCAGTCAAAGGCACATAACTCCTTATGACTTTAAACAATATTTACAATTGTTGCACACATACACACTAGTATTTGAACCCACACAAGCGACATTTCACCTCATAGAAATCAAACTGTTTTAATTTCATAGACAAACCTTAACTACAAGCTTTCATACACCAAATCACTGCATGGTCACTCCTTACAATTTTATCTCACTTATCACATTGAACAAGCAATCTTAAATTCACTTTGTGTATATCAAACATATATATAAATGCATGTTATTTGTTGAAATCTATAACTATGTTGTTTCACCTTGATTTCTTCCAATTGAATTTCCTTCAAATGTTTTTTTATTTTATTTGTTGTGGATGAATGTTTAACGAACATGTACATTTTAAGCCTTCACACAATCTCACATTCTGACACATCCAATTAGCTCAATTTCCGCAACATAATCAAACGTGGGTAAAGTGTCCCCCACTAGTGCTCATTCATTTTCATTGTCCTACCATAACTGAACTTTGGCACACATGCACATACACATTCTCATTGCTAGTTTCAATGTCTTTTCCTTTCATTTCAATTGTATACACATGTAATTCCTTTTGTCAATAACATGTATTGTCGTTTGTTTTATATTCATTGTATTGTTATTATTTTTACCCAGACTCATATGAGTCTGCCAAATTTTTTTGTGGAATAAATGTTCCAAGAGCTCATGAATATTTACTATAAAATGTCTGTACACATTCAAAGAGGTGATACACACAACATATTAAACAGTTCTATTTTAGTTTAGTTTTCCTGAATTTTGGTTTTTGAAATTTTAGTTATTGATTGTTATGTTATGTGTTGGGTTCCAACATCAAATAAAATACTTATAAACAACTAGAATGGCATGCGTAAGAGAATGAGATCTTTCTTTATGAGCTGGGTACTATATCCTGGTTCATCCTTCTGATACCATTTCCTATAAATAAGTGCTTGCATGAAAAAATGAAAAAGGGTAGCTAGATAAAGGTGGACAACTTAATAATACAACATTTCTCTTCTCAAGAGGAGTTGAAGGGATTGGGTGTGGTGGGTTTTTTGTAGTTCCTTGAAAGGAATTGTTCATGAGGAGTTAAAGGAATGGGATGTGGTGAGTTTTATATGTCCTTGACAGAGGATGTGTCCAAAAATGGACTATAAAAGGTGTATGTGGTTTTGCTAGTTTCAATCATTTTGTACATATATATTTACTAGCAGGCTTTGCCCACTCGCTATTGCTTTGCAAATTAAGATATAATCACTACTTGAAATCTTTGAAACAAAAATTTTAAATGAACATTTCATTCATAAATTGGCTTGTTATAGTTAAGGAAAGTTTTACAAATAGATGCCAACTTGTTGAAGGCCAAATAAAATGCAAATTTCAAATGCTTTTCTATTCTTTTCTTTTTCTTTATATAAAATGATATTCCTAAACAGAACTATTTTTGATATGAAAATCAAAACAATCCTATGAATAAAAGAACAGTAATGAAGGACAGTTAATTAATGAAATAAACTTTTTTAAAATCAATATGCAAATTAGTTAAACCTGAAGAGTGATATCACCTAGAAGTAGGTAATATATGATACAGATATTGAGCTCTTAGCTTGTAACACCCTATTTATAATCTCTCAGTTGTGTCTCTGTCTTTGGGCAGAGTGTGCTCAGGGTCGACTTCTTGGGGGGATTGAATTAATGCCAAATTACTATAAGTTAGAGCTGGGGCTTTTTAATCTCAAAATTCATGGTAGAAATGAGTTCCAATTTTGCATTTATTCATATAGATTCCATAATATAGGTTTTACATAATTAGTGATTATGTTTCTCTAACTCTTCAAATGTTGAATGTATAACTAATTCTAATTTCTATTTTCCCATCTTTACACTATATTAATTTCATCTTATAAATTGTGCCCTGTTCTGTCACCCATGAAATAAAAATAATCATTTGTACAGAAAATAAGGAGCTACATACATCAAATTGTCTTTAAATTAAGTGGCAGCAGAAGAATTATCATTGAACTTTTAAAAGATAAGCTTAAACATTAATTCAATACTGAAATGCAGCGATCAATTTTGAGTTCTGTAGTTTATTGATTATTGCATCTACTCCTCCCTAGCTATTATGATGATAGCTAAACCAAGAATCATCCACAGGAGCTAGCTTAAATGCTGCCCAATAGGGCAGCTTTTAAACCAGTTTATAATAAAACATGCACTGCAATTTTGGATACAAAAAGAAAATAAGAGTTACTCCCCTTGAACCATGAAAGCAACGATAATGGCTAGTATAATGTATTAATATATACTTTTAACCTTGCATAATCTGGCAACCCTGTACTTTATATATAAGATTTAACTTTTTTTATTGTGGGAGTAAATAAAGGTTACATGTCTGTTATTTGTTTGGTTTTGTATATTTGCCTGCTTCTAGTTATGTATGGTTGTTTGGTAGGTGTAATGAGGGTGTGT